TGTGTTGGTGATCTGCGTGTGTGTATGTGGGGGGGGGGGGGGGGGGGGGGGGGGTATGCATGCGCTGGGGATGTGCAGGGGGGCAGCCCCCAGGTGGCAGCTTTGTGCCCTCCCTTGCTCACTCATTCGGCCACACAGCCTCACACTTCTGTGACCTGGGGGCTCCAGGGAAGGTGAGGGGCAGCCAGCAGCTCTGAGCCAGCTGGGCAGCCACGGTGAGGCTGGAGGTCCGCAGCGGGAGGTTCGGTGGGAGCTGGGAGCGGCTGCTCACCCGGCCTCTGCCCCCAGAGCAGCTCGTGCTGGGTGCCTCGCAGGAGCCGGTGGGCCGCTGGGACCAGGACTATGACAGGGCTGTGCTGCCACTGCTGGACGCTCAGCAGCCCTGCTACCTGCTCTACCGCCTCGACTCACAGAATGCTCAGGGCTTCGAATGGCTCTTCCTTGCCTGGTCGCCTGATAACTCCCCTGTGAGTCCTGGGCCAGTGGGGAGTGAGGAGGGGAGCTGGGGCCGAACTGAACAACAAGGCCTTGCCCTGGGGGATCTAAGAGGGGACACAGGCCTGCCCCTGGAGGATGGGGGATGAGCTGTCAGGCCCTGCCCTAGGGAGTCTGAGAGAGGGTCAAGGCCCTGTGCCTGCAGCCTGGGTACCTCACGCTCTCCAGGCATCAGCCTGGCTCCAGAGGCGGTGGTCAGGCTGGACAAGGGCTCCCCCTGCTGGTGGGAGCCACCTGCTGCGTCTTGGCCCTCTGCCGGGTGTGCCAGTGCAATGAGCCTACCGGGTGGCTCCAGAGGTGCCTGTCTGTTCCGGGAGAGGCAGCCCTGCCCAGAGGCCTCTCATGGTTTGGTCCTTGCCCTTCAGGTGCGGCTGAAGATGCTGTATGCGGCCACACGCGCCACAGTGAAAAAGGAGTTTGGAGGTGGCCACATCAAAGATGAGCTCTTCGGGACTGTGAAGGTAGCCCTAAGCCAGGACTTACCGGGACACGGTCCTGGGCCCACAGAGAGGTCACTGTGCAGGGTCAAAGAGCAAGCCAGTGCCAGCCTTGGGAGGAAGATGGGGGCACTGGGGGAGTCCAAGGACTGCAAGCGGGGGTGCTCGGTGGGCTTCCTCTAGCCCACCCTCAGGTGCCCATTTATGGCTCTGCATTCACCCCCACCCCCGCAGGACGACCTCTCTTTTGCTGGGTACCAGAAACACCAACTCCCCTGTGAGTCCTGGGCCAGTGGGGAGTGAGGTGACTATGATCCTGTCTGAGTTCTGGGTGGGCAGGTGAGGAGGCCGAGGCCTCAGAGGGCCTGGCCTGTTGGGGTGTCCAGGCATCAGGGCCCC